TTCCGCCAGAGTTGCAAGAAGAGGTAGACTTCGCTAACATCCAGGGCCCCCTTGAGATACCAGGAAGCTGGATACACATGACGTGGCCGGCCTGGGCGAGTGCTGGACAAACATGATCGCGCTCGGTCCTTCTATGGCCGTGTAGGCGGGGCGTCCGCGCGTGTATCCAACGCGCGGTCTCCGCATGTTCCACATGTGAATCAAGCCGTGCCCGTTTCCAGTTCCGTAGAGCTTCCAGAGCTCCCCCGAAAGGGTTTGGAAGGCGTTTCTGTCGCCCCGCTCTCCGGGCCTTGGATCCCACAGGCGAGTCCAGCCGTGCACCTTTCCAGCTCAGTGGTGCACACCAGTCCTCGGCTACGCGAAGGGGTGGGTGGGGGGAGGGGGGAGGGCTTCTTCGAAACACCCCTGCTCCTTAGAAGGTGCGGGCCTGCTCTGTACATGTAAGGCCGGCGCCTTCTAAGAAACAGGCTCTTTCTAAACAGCCCCCCCCTCCCCCCACCCCCTTGTGCGCACCGCCAAAGTACAGTCAACCCGCATAATAAGGATGGGCAGCTCTCCCAAGCGTACCCTTGCGTCCTTGCCTCCTCGGTCCATCCTTGTGCCGCTTTCGTTGGCCGCGCCCCGCCTGAGACGCTTCGAAATGGGCGTCCGAGACCCTTGCGCCGTTGTCGCGCATCCTTGCTATACGGGTTGGCTGTGGACTCACAGCGCGACTTCCAACCACGTCCAGCATTCGGTCGGGCGTGTCCCTCTACAGGAGTATTGGAAAATAGTTAGAAAATCGCGTGGGGACGATTTTTTGTTGACCATTTCTGAATATGTGTTTGCTTATGTTTGGGGTATCTCTCATTTTTCGCCCCAGATCCCTTTGTGGGGGGACAAGCCCGACCCCAGTCCAGCCCTGTTCCTTGATCCCCGAGGGCCGGACGCAGGCCACCTGCGCTCGGACCCCCCCTCTTTGAAGGGCTCGGGAGCTCCGTCGGTGGCCGCAGCGCCTGCGGAGGTCCTGCACGGGTCGACCAGGCGCAAGGGTGACCCTTCGCCGGAGTGGCCTCTGGTGCGGGCCGAATGGGTGCCCCGATCGCCGAACGCGAGGCGGCGGTGGCGTCTCGCGCGCTCGTGTTTGGCACCCTTCGCGGCCCCCCCAGAGGGCCGCGCAGCAGAGGTCATTCCTACCCAGGGTCACTCTTGCGTGTAGCCGAGCGGGTGGACTACTTGAGGGGAAGAATTATCCGCAAGGGCCTCGCCCTTTGCCGCTGGCCCCCTCTCAATCAGAATGGGATACATCAGAGCTATATTGGGATGTTCGGGCGCCGTCTTGATGACATTCGGGAACGTCATGCTAGGGAGGCTGGCGATGAGCAAAACAGATTGAGATGTTGAAGTTGTTGTTGAAAGCGTTGTTGCCTTCTTGGCATTTTCCTCCAGCTGTTCACTGGAAGCGCTCTGGGAACGGCAGGGGGTTGCTTCAGGCAATCTCTGGGAAGGTTTTTTTTTTCCCAACCCTCCTGCGTTGGGTACTCGTTTTGAATAGAGCACTGCGGTCTCCACCTTCCTTCCTTCCCGCCTCCTCCTCCTCTCTTCCCTCTTCCTCTCCTCTCTTGCTTCCCTTCTCCGCCTCTCTTCGCTCCTCCTCTTCTCTCTTGCATCCCTTCTCCTCTCTTCGCTCCTCCTCTCTTGCTTCCCTTCTCCTCCTCTCTTCGCTCCTCCTCTTCTCTCTTGCCTTTTACGTCATCCCTTTGGGGCTGCGATCTGTGAAACTGTCGCCACTTTCGAGGGCTGCTGGTGGGTCCAGCGGAGTGAGGCACCACGCAGATTCAGATTAGACCTCGCCATCCCTGGGGGGCTGCGATCTGCGAAACTGTCACCACTTTCGAGGGCTGCTGGTGGGTCCAGCGGAGTGAGGCACCACGCAGATTCAGATTAGACCTCGCCATCCCTGGGGGGCTGCGATCTGCGAAACTGTCGTCACTTTCGAGGGCTGCTGGTGGGTCCAGCGGAGTGAGGCACCACGCAGATTCAGATTAGACCTCGACTTTCGAGGGCTGCTGGTGGGTCCAGCGGAGTGAGGCACCACGCAGATTCAGATTAGACCTCGCCATCCCTGGGGGTTTGCGATCTGCGAAATTGTCGTCCATTTCGAGGGCTGCTGGTGGGTCCAGCGGAGTGAGGCACCACGCAGATTCAGATTAGACCTCGCCGTCCCTGGGGGGCTGCTGGTTGCGAAACTGTCGTCACTTTCGAGGGCTGCTGGTGGGCCCAGCGGAGTGAGGCACCACGCAGATTCAGATTAGACCTCACCATCCCTGGGGCGCTGCGGTCTGCGACACTGACGCCACATTCGAGGGCTGCTGGTGGGTCCAGCGGAGTGAGGCACCACGCAGATTCAGATTAGACCTCGTCATCCTTGGGGGGCTGCGATCTGCGAAACTGTCGCCACATTCGAGGGCTGAGGGTGGGTCCAGCGGAGTGAGGCACCACGCAGATTCAGATTAGACCTCGCCATCCCTGGGGGGCTGCGATCTGCGACACTGACGCCACATTCGAGGGCTGCTGGTTGCGAAACTGTCGCCACATTCGAGGGCTGCTGGTGGGTCCAGCGGGGTGAGGCACCACGCAGATTCAGATTAGACCTCGCCATCCCTGGGGGGCTGCGATCTGCGAAACTGTCGCCACATTCGAGGGCTGCTGGTGGGTCCAGCGGAGTGAGGCACCACGCAGATTCAGATTAGACCTCGCCATCCCTGGGGGTCTGCGATCTGCGAAACGGTCACCACTTTCGAGGGCTGCTGGGGGGCCCAGCACAGTGAGGGCGACGCGCAGATTCAAATTAGACCTCGCCATCTCTGGGGGGCTGCGATCTGCGAAATTGTCGCCACTTCCGAGGGCTGCTGGGGTGACCAGCGGAGTGAGCCCCCACGGGGACTCAGATTAGACCTCGCCATCGCTGGGGGGGCTGCGATTTGCGAAATTGTCCCCAGTTTCGAGGGCTGCTGGGGGGGGGGCAGCGGAGTGGGGTACTCAGATTCGACCTCGCCATTCCTGGGGGACTGCGATTTGCGAAACCGTCGCCACTTTCGATGGCTGCTGGGGGGCCAGCGGAGTGGGTCCTACGCAGACTCAGGCTCGACTTCGCCATCCCCGAAGGGCTGCGATCTGCGAAACTGTCGCCACTTTCGAGGGCTGCTGGAGGGCCCAGCGGAGTGGGGACATATTCGGATTCAGATCAGACCTCGCCATCCTTGGGGGGCTGCGATTTGCGAAACTGTCACCACTTTCGAGGGCTGCTGGGTGGCCCAGCGGAGTGACGTCATACGCGAGCCTGGGGCTTTAATCCTCGTTCTTTCGATCGTCGTCCTGTGAGCCGTGCAATGCGTGCGCATCCCATGTAGAGCAATTCACATCGCCTACATTATCGTTGTTCCTGCTAATGTTGGCCTACTCCTCTTGCCACTTGATGCACGTGGGTCGGGTACGTCGCAGGGTATTTTTTCTGCTCTGGAGAAGGAGTTGCGCCTTTGGGCAGCTTCCGCGAGGTGGATTCGTAGCGTGGGGGGTGCGCGCGAATTTTGTATAATTTGCGGGGGATCGTGGCCTCGGGGATGCGAATGTGGCGTAATTTGCAAGGGATCGTGGCCTCGGAGACGCGAATGTGGCGTAATTTGCGAGGGATCGTGGCCTCGGGGGCGCGAATCCAGCGTAATTTGCAAGGGATTCTGGCTTCGGGGGCGCAAATGTGGAGTAACTTGCGAGGGATCGTGGTCTGGGGGGGTGAATGTGGAGTGATTTACTAGGGATCGTGGCCTCGGAGACGCAAATGTGGTGTAAATTACCAAGGATCGTGGCCTCGGAGACGCGAATGTGGTGTAATTTACAAGGGATCGTGGCCTCGAGGGCGCGAATACAATGTAATTTGCAAGGGATGCTGGCTTCTGGGGCACGAAACTCTTGTATTTTTACGTGTCCCACGCCCCCTCAGAAATTCTGAGAACCCTCTCGGGGGACGCCAACCAGGGTGGTTTTCGGCTCCCCCCCCCTCGCGCGGACAGTCACAATTTACAGTAGGAAGCAGAAAGCAGCACTGTAACAATGGAAACTGGAAAGTGGAACTGGCACAGGGAGCAGCAACCCTAACCCTCGCAGCCTGATGGCCCCGCAAGGGGGCCGGCGGATATCTGGGGCTCAGGAGACGGGGGTCGATGCAAACGGGGGTCAGCCAGGGCACCGGATCCTGCAGGATCTTGCGAAGACCCCCTCTTCGGCTGACCCGGGTCAGCGAGCCCCTCGTGGCCGCGACCCTGCGTTGCAGTTTTTCGTTTTCCTTGCATTGCAGTTGTTTGGTTTCTTGCTGACCCGGGTCTGATTGACCCGGGATAGCAGACCCCCGATATATCCACATCAAGTGTTGCTTGGACTTCCTTGGAAGGGGCGCCTCAAGGCCGAGGCGCACCGGATATTGATCAAAATCGAGCCTCTTGGGGGCCAAATGTTTATCCATGTCCGGTCCTTTTCGGGTTTCCTGAGGAAGGGAGCCCGGAATTCCAAGCTGCAGTGGATATCGACGGAAGTATTGCCCGCGTATTTGCCACGGGATTGGCATTGCTCGGAGGTGTGTGTTTTCTCTCGGCGGGGACCACCGAGGAGCATCCTGGGCCACCTTGCGAGAAAGCCGCGCACGAGATCGAAAAGTGCACGGGGAGAGGGCGTCCGAGCGATGGCAAGCGGGGGCCGACGGCAAAGCTCAGCACTCAGTCTCGCCCCCTTCGCTGTCTGGCGGCGCGAGACGAGGGGGCGGCGCGAGAGGGGCTGGGCTTCTGAGCAGGCGGCGGGGCTCCTAGCCCCCCCCCCTCTAGCTTCGGAGGGGCCTTCTTGGAAGCCCTCGGGCCTCCTCAAGACGGCCCCTGCCTTCCGAGAGGCCCCCCCGACTCCGAGGGCTGCCCCCCTCGCGCCCGCCCCTCCTGGGCGCCCCCTCTCCGCGCTCTCCCGCCCCGGCGGCGGAGGTCTTCACGGCCCTGCGCGTCCCCGCCGTCGCCGCCGTGCGCGCCCTGAGGCACGGCCAGCCGCTGCCGAGGAGACGCGCGGAGCTACAGGTCGTCGCCGTCGTCGCCGCCGCCGCCGCCGTCGCCGCCGTCGTCGCCGCGGTCGCTGCCGTCCGTGGTCGCCGCCGCCGCGGTCGCCGCCGCGGGAGGGAGAGCGCGAGGAGGCGCTCTCCAGGCCCAGCCTCGTGCAGGGGGAGCCTTGGCGAGGCCGCCGTGGTCGTCGTCGTCGTCGTCGTCGTCGTCGTCGTCGTCGTCGTCGTCGTCGTCGTCGTCGTTGTCGTCGTCGTCGTCGTCGTCGTTGTCGTCGTCGTCGTCGCCACGGCTGGGGACGCGGCTCGAAGAGCTGGCCGTGATCGACCATGAGAGGGGCCCGAAAAACCCACCTCGAGCTGCCGTTCCAGGGCAGGCAGCACACCCTTTTTCGTGCTCGGCGCGCGCGCGGCGGCACTGGCGGCGAGGCGCCCGCACTGAGCGGGGGCACCAGGCCGCGAGCGAGGAAAGGGCAGAGGCGCGCGCGGCAGCGCGGCGCCGCCACCGTCGCAGGTAGCACATACGCACGCGCACGCGCAGACTTTCAGTGGGAGATCGTGGACAGAACAGTGGCCCGTGGGCCACTGGCCGAGCGGTAAAGCCAGGCGTGTGTCAGGCGGGACACACACACACACACGCACGCACGCACGCACGCAGACACAGACACGCGCATACACACGAACCACACATATTTCTGGCGTCGCGGTCCTGTGCTCATTCGCCCATTGGCCATGATATGAACTGGCCCACGGCGAAGTCAGTATGTGACTTGCACCCCGCTATGCCTTCAGCGGAAGAGAATCCGTCAGTTCAATCGCAGTGCGATCTCATCCCCAAATAGACGCCCACGGCGCCTTCGCATGGAATGAGAGTCATCGCTATGAATAGCTTAGGGTTAGTCTGTGCAGTTTTCCTGTCACAAGGCCACCACGCATCGATGGATCTTAGCACGCAGTGCTTCAGAGCCATTTTAAGAGTTCACGCCTTAGCCGTGCTCTCAGCCTTCCACCCAACGGGGCACGCCCCAGCGTCTGCCTGCTCGTTCACTCGGTCTGCAAAACCGATCGATTAAAAGCGCGCGGGGGGAATTGGCGATTTAGGGGGAGGAGGGTGTTACCATCAGTCGTCACCCAGCTTCCAGCCAGTTCATCAATAATGTAATCCGCACCCGTTCATGTTCGAATGACCAGCGCAACCATGGCACCTGCAGTTGCAACTAAGCAGCTTTTCAAGCCGGAGTTTGTGACAAAGTGCACGCCCCTTCCTCTCTCAATTTGCCTTCGCGGCGTGAATCACAGGCCGGCCTCACAGTAGGGGACCTCAGACTGCAATCACCGCCTTCTGAGGAGTGCACGCCGCAGCCTCTTGCGCCACGCCTCTCCCCGGGGTGCACATCCTTGAGTGCTTTCCCGCCAGACTCTCCTCCGTCTCTCCAGGAACCGGGCCGCCGCGGGCCTGATCGAGGAGGAGAGGACAGGTGAGGAGAGAGGGGCGACGAGGAGGAGCATGAGGGAGGAGGAGGAGGACCAGATCAAATCCAAGACGCATCAACCATGTTGCAATAAACCCTCCCTCCAAGTTCTCTCTCCATGAGGCTCTACAATAATGTATTGCGAAGGCCTTACGGCCGGTGCCGCCGACCCTGGAGGGCGACCCATGCGTTCTCTAATGTGGCGGGGGGGGGCCTCTTGGGGCTTCCTGGGGGCTTCTTGGGGGTCTCGTGGTGGCCTCTTGGGGGCATCTTGGGGCTTCCTGGGAGCCTCTGTCGCCGAGGGCTCGTCGGGCTCCCCGTCTGGGCACCCTGTTGGAGCCGTTTGGGGAGCCTCTGGGGCCATCTTGGAGGCATCTTGGGCGGTCTTGAGGCGCTCTTGGGTCATTTTGGGGCTCTCTTGAGGCCTCTTGGGCTATCTTGGGGCAATCTTGGGGGCATCTGGGGCCGTCTTGGAGCGTCGGCAAGTTGAAACGGCGAGAACGCCAAAATCTGTCAAAAACTTTAAGGAAATCATTGATTTGTCCCTCTTCGTGCCCTCTTGGGAGTGCTCTTGGAGACTTCTTGGAGCGTCTTGGCAATCTCTTGGGCCGTCTGGAGGCTACTTTGGCGTCTTCGACCGATGGTTCGGCGATTCGGGGCCCTCTGGAGCCGTCTTGGAAGCCTCTTGGGGCACTCTTGGCCAGTCTGGGGGCTTTTCTAGGTCCCGGGACATCCCGGGGATGCGTATCTGCCCCCCCCCCCCCCCCCGGGACCCCCCCCGGGACCCCCCCCCCCCCCGGCGGGGAAGGGATCAAAGGGAAGGGGCTTCCCTTCGACTCAGCTACGACGTTGCTCAATTTCGCTTTGCCTTCGACTCAGCTACGACGTTGCTCGATTTCGCTTTGGTTTCGCTTTGGCTGGCGCGCCTGAGGGGAGGGCGACGACGACGACGACGACGACGACGACGACGACGACGACGAACGGAAGAGCATCGACGACGACGACGACGACGACGACGACGACGACGACGACGGCAACGACGACGACGACGACGACGACGACGACGACGACGACGACGACGGCGGCGACGACGACGACGACGTTCACGACGAACGGAAAAGCATCTCCCACACGCCGACAGGGTCGGCGGATTTGCATTGCAGGACAAACCATACTGGAATGCAACTGCCTGACAACCCGCAATCGTGCCAAAACGTATGTGTAACTGTTGCGACCTGACGCTCTTACCTCCTACCAGAGCACAATTCCCAGGACTTCAACTACGCATATCTTTAAAACTGGTGTAAATATTTAAAACGAACCTGCGCTGCACTAGGCCAGAATCATAGATTGAAACAGACTCGCCCTTCATTATCGAAACTGATGCAAACTGGTAAACAAATTTGCGCGGCCCGAAGGCGATAACTTGCTGCTTAAAACCGCCCGCTCTCAATCCCTTGAGCCGCTGCCAATGTTTAGGACGAGTGAATGTGCGCGGCGCTATGGCGATAGCCGCATTTTGAAAACGCGCCCAGCCCTCCACCCTTGAGGCTGTTGCAAGTGCTCAAGGCGAGTGTGCTCGGCGCTATGGCGAGAGGCACATGTTGAAACGACCTGCCCCGCATCCGCGCAACTGTTGCACACTTCGAGGGGGTGGAGTCTCAGGCCAAACGTTCGGCCCGCCCTTCCGACAAGTCGGGGGGTGCGACGGGGAGAAGTTACTCCCAAGGGAAAGGGATGGAGGAGGAAGAGGAGGAGGAGGAGGAGGAGGAGGAGGAGGAGGAGGAGGAGGAGGAGGAGGAGGAGGAGGAGGGGGAGGGGGAGGAGGAGGTGGAGGAGGAGGAGGAGGAGGCGGAGGAGGGGGAGGAGGAGGAGCGAGGAGCGAGGAGGGCAAGGAGAAGGAGGACGGGGAGAGGGCAAGGAGGAGCTGGCAGCCCCGAGGAGGGTATCGCGTCGCCTCTTCTGCGAGGGCTTCGCCCGGGTGCCGCCCCCGCCCTTGCCCGACGGGCCGCCCACGGCTGCCCGCGGGGGGCACCTGGGAGGTCCGATGATCGAGGGTCGAGGGCGAGGCTCGGGGCTCGAGGAGGCTCGACTGGCAGCGGCTGCCCATGGGGAGGTCTCTCCCCCTCTCCCCCTGTCCCCCTCCACTCCCCGTCCCCCGCACTCTTCGCCCCACTCTTTTCCTCTCCTCCCCGCCCCGTTTCGCTCCGCTCCTCCCCGCCGTCCTCCCCTCCTCGCCTCCCTCCTCCCCCTCCTGCGTCCCTCCCTCTCTCTGCAACTCCCTCCTCTTCTACCCCCCCCTCCTCCATCCCCCTCCCCTCTCTCTGGACATCGTCCTTGTCGTCCGACCTCGACTCCTCCACTCCCTCCCGAACCAATCCTCGCGTTCACTGTTGTGTGCCCCCATCGCCTCGTCGCCAGCGTTGCGATCCGCAAGCATGGGCCAGGATGGTGCCTGCGAGGGGCCTCGGGAGCCCTGGGGGCTTGTCTCGGACCGGGGATCTGGCCCCTGGGGGACCTCGGCGGCACCACGATGGATCTAACAACTTGCGAGGGGAGGATTTGACCACATTCACCTCATGGGGAACCGATGTCCTGGGGCCTCACGGGGCGGTGGATGCGGATGCACTTGGACCTTGGGGCCCCAACATATCCATGTTCATTACTTGCCGAGGTCCCTCATGCGGTGTTTGTGGGCAATCTCCCGCCTCGAACTAAGTGGTACTCCGGCAGCCCGCTGGAAGCTGCCACTTTCGATTCTCTCTCGGGCGCTGCAGCGATGCACGCCTCGGGAAGGCTTGGACGGGGGATCGGGCCAGGAGGAGACCTCGGCCCGCCGACAGCTCTCACTGCAGGGCCCTGCCGGGGCATCTGCAGCATGGCCCGCGTCGGGGGGCGGGGGGGGGGGCTGTGCTTGCCGGGTCGCTGCCCGGAGCACAGCCGAGGCGCCGACATGCTGACCACTCCACGAGGAGGAGGGGGAGGGAGGAGGAGGAGGAGGAGGGAGGGGGAGGGGAGGAGGAGGAGGAGGAGGGAGGAGGAGGAGGTGGAGGAGGAGGAGGAGGAGGAGGAGGAGGAGGAGGAGGAGGAGCGAGGAGCGAGGAGGGCAAGGGGGGCTCTGCTTCCCGGGGGGCTGCTCCTAGGATCCAGGCCGGGGGAACCTCTCCGCGGCCGAGGCCCGCCGCGGCCAGAGCAGCCCTTTTTTGTGCTCTGTGACCCGCGTGCCCCTGCGGTGGCACGACGGCCGCAGGGCCAGCTGGCGCTGCCGAGCAGCCCCCCCCCCCTGCCTGCAGGTGCTTATTTCCAGCGTCTCCTGCCATTCGCCCACTCATGGTAGGTGTGGTCACTTGTGTGGTGAGCCGTTGAGGCCAACAAAAAAAAAAGCAGCCCCCCCCCGCCGCGCCGCGCGGGGGATCTTCAGGGCGGCGTGGGCGCGGCCGGCAGGGGGCCGCGGGAGCAGAAGGCGTGCTAGCGCGAGGGGCTCTGCCCGGCGCGCGCGGCGAGCCGCCCCAGGGGCGTCCTGCGTGGCGCGGGGAGGGCAGAGCGCTCGGCCCTGGCCCGCGGTTGTCCAGGGAGAGTGAAGTGTTGTCAAGCTGCGGCCCTTGCCCGCGGTTCACAACAACAGCGGCTCCCGCCTGATACTTCTTGACAGTGTATTCCCAAATCGTGCGCTCGCGCGGGACTTCCTCACAATCTGTACGAAGCGGAATCCAAACCGTGAGTAGCTTTTCGCTTAAACATGAGTGGTTTTTCGCTTAACCGTGAGTGAGTGAGCCCACGCTGTGAGTGCACGCTGTGAGCCCACGCTGTGAGTGCACGCCGTGAGCCCACGCCGTGAGCCCACGCTGTGAGTGCACGCTGTGAGCCCACGCTGTGAGCACACGCTGTGAGACCACGCAACACACCAGACGCATCACACCGCACTCGCAACACAACACACGCGCAACACACCACACGCAACACACCGCACGCAACACACCACACGCAACACTCCGACACCACACGCAATACAGTACACGCAACGCACCACACGCAACACACCACACGCAACACACCACACGCCACACACACGTACCGCGCGCAGCACACCACACGCAACACGCCACACGAAACACACCACACGCCACACACGACACGCAACACACCACACGCAACACACCACACGCAACACACCAGACACCACACACACACACATACACACTGCACGCAACACACCACACGTAACACACCACATGCCACACACCGCACGCAACACACCACACGCACACACGACTTGCAACATACCGCACGCAACACTCCACACGCAACACACCACACGCAACACACCACACGCAACACACCACCCGCAATACACCACACGCAACACACGACACACAACACACCACACGCCACACACCACACACCACACACCACACACCACACCGCACACCGCACACCGCACACCTCCCACACCACACACACCACCCACCACCACCCACCACAGACCATCACACACCACATACCACACACCATACACCACACACCGCCCACCGCACATCGCACACCGCACGCCGCACACCGCACAACACCCACCACGCACACATGCACACACACACACACCAACACCCCACCACCACAACCACCACCACCGCCAGCGATACCGCCACCACCAACGCCACCACCACTACCACCACAATCACCGCCACCATCACTCCCACCACCACCACCACCACACACAAACGCACTCACACACACACCACAGAGGAATTCACTCTCGGACCGCGCGGAGAAATCCAGCGCGTAAGCAATTCGAGATGCCGTCGGGCCCACAGCGTGCACTCACAGCGTGCGCTCACGGTCTTTCTCACCGGGTGGCGCGCAGCGTGCGCTCACAGCGTGCACTCACAGCGTGCACTCACAGCGTGCACTCACAGCGTGATTGGCCCACGCTGCTACGCGTGCCCGCCGTGGTGAGCCAACGCTGCGAGCCCATGCTGTGAGCCCACGCTGTGAGCTCACGCTGTGAGCACGCTGTGAGCCCACGCTGTGAGCCCACGCGGTGAGTGCACGCGGTGAGCGCACGCTGCGAGCGCAGGCTGTGCGAGCGCGCTCATCAGCTCAGCGAGCCCTCGACGCCGAGTGCACTCGCAGCGTGCATTCACAGCGTGCGTTCACCGCAGCGTGTACTCACAGCGTGCGCTCACAGCGCGCACTTACCACAGCGTGCACTCACAGCGTGCGCTCACAGCGTGTACTCACCACTGCGTGGGCTCACGGCGTGGGCTCACAGCGTGCGCTCACCACAGCGTGCACTCACAGAGTGCACTCACAGCGTGCACTCAATCACTCACGGTTAAGCGCAAAGCTCCTCACGGTTAGGATCGACTCTCATCTGTACAGGAATCGCGCTCTCGCGTGGGAGTTCCTCACAATTTATTCAGACGCCGCGCCCTCGACACTCAGGAATCACGCTCTCGCTGTGGATTTCCGCGCGATTTAGTTGGGAATCGCGTTCGAGACCTCCTTGCGATTCATGCAGGACGCACGCTTCAGCAACCCGTCTGCCACTTTCCCCTTCCTTCCATCCGTCCTCTTCCCCTGCCTTGGTGGCTGCACGAAATGCACGTTGCAGGTAAGAAAGATGTAAATTTAAGGTTGTTGATCTCCCCCATCTGGTGACCATTGTGCCATTGTGTTTTTCAATTGAAGTGCTTCTCCTGGGGCTCGCACCGGATTTTTCAGTCATGGAAAATCACTAGGCTCAATCTGCGTTGTTGGCCTCCGGGTTACGACAACAACGGCTCCCCCCGGAGACTTTCTCACAACCTAGCCACGACCCCCGCTCCCGCCTGAGACTTCCTCGTATTTTGCTTAGGAATCGCGCCCTCGCTTGGGACTTCCTTACAATGTATTCAGGGATCGCTTCCTCGGCGCTCTGGAGTCGCGCTCTCGCTGGAGACTTGCTTGCAATGTACTCAAGGATCGCGCTCTTGCGTTTGAATTCTTCGCAATTTACTCAAGCGCCGCGCGCCCGACACTCAGGCACCAAGGAGTCGCGCCCACGCTTAGGACGCCCTCACAGCTTATTTCGGAATCTGGATCTCGCCGCCCTTTGTGGCTCTGGTGCAGCCCTTCGTGGCCCCCTCGCTGCCCTTCGTGGCCCCGTTTCAGCCCTTGGTGGCCCCCTCGCTGCCCTTCGTGGCCCCGTTGCAGCCGTTCGTGGCCCCCTCCCTGCCCTTCGTTGTCCCGTTGCAGCCCTTCGTGGCCCCCTCGCTGCCCTTCGTGGCCCCGCTGCAGCCCTTCGTGGCCCCCTCGCTGCCCTTGGTGGCCCCGTTGCAGCACTTCGTGACCCCTCGCTGCCCTTCGTGGCCCCGTTGCACCCCTTCGTGGCCCCCTCGCTGCCCTTCGTGGCCTCGTTGCAGTCCATCGTGGCCCTCTCGCTGCCCTTCGTGGCCCCATACATGTATGCCCTTCGTGGCCCCCGCTCGTCCGCGCCCGTCCCGGCCCCATATGCATGCGCTTCGTGGCCCCCGCTGTCGCCCTCAGTGGCCCCCTCGCCGCTGCCCTTCGTGGCCCTGTTGCTGCCCTCAGTTGCCCCGTCCTTACCCTCTGCGGCCCAATATACATACGCCCTTCGTGGCCCCCCCTCGTTCGCGCTCGTCGTTGCCCCATATGCATGCCCTTCGTGACACTGCTGTCGCCCTTTGTGGCCCCCTCGCTGCCCTACGTGGCCCAGTTGCTACCCTCAGTGGCCCCTTCGTTGCACTCTGTGGCCCCGCATTATCTGCCCTTCGTGGCCCCCGCTCGTTCGCGCCCTTCGTGGCCCCATACTCATGCGCTTCGTGGCCCCGTCGTTGCCCTCTGTGGCCCCGCATTATCTGCCCTCCGTGGCGCCGCTGTCGCTCTCGCTCTGGCTCCCGCTTTCGCTCGTCGTCGTCGTCGTCGTCTCGTCGTCGTCGTCGTCTCGTCGTCGTCGTCGTCGTTCTCGTTGTCGTCGTCGTC